AGTTCCTTAGAAGCAGCATCTTAATACAAGGAGTTTAAATGAAATAGAGATACAGCTTGAATACTGAAGATACTTTCCAGAGTAGAGGGAAATGTTATGGTTAGTATGTTTTTATCAAAAGACCACTGGTTGGCATTGGTGTTGAGTTATATGGTCATACTAAGGATACTATATAGAAATCAGAGGGGCCCTCAAAATGGCAGAACATCTTCCCATTAGGATCTAATTACTAGCTTGCAGTCAGGAAGTTCATCATAGCAGTTTCTTTGTCTTCAGTCCCTGGCACCATGCTGGACACAAGCAGAGGAAAGAGTGGATGCATGGATTGTTGGATGGGTCAATGGGTGTATATACACAGACCTGTGGTGACTTATTTTAATGTGTTGAGAAACCAATCCTGTTACAAAGAGGCTGCAATGGTTGGGATGCAAGTTCAAAATGATGAGTGTTTGTCTGCGGTATGTTTTATATGGTTAAAAACTACCAGTACCTGTGTATGTAAATTTCTTTCTTTCTTTCTTTTCATGTGTGCAAGTTCAAATGTATGTGAGTGTGATGCCTGTGGAGGCCAGAGGAAAACCTTGTATGTTCTCCTTAGAAATGCTATCCAACTCCCTTGAGAGAAGGTCTCTCATTGAGACCTAGGTCTCACTGAAAACTCCCAGATCCTCCTGTCTCTACTTCCTTAGCTCTGGGAGTATGTACATCACCATACTTGAGTTTTTATACAAGTTACAGGAAATCAAAATTGAGTCCTCATGCTTAGGTCACAAGCACTTCACCAACTGAGCCATCTCCCCAGCCCCTGAAGAGATCATGTCTAATTCTTCCTCTGGAGGATGCGGACAATTTCTTTCCAAATAAGAGAGAGGTGAGAATTCTTTTAGATTACTCTATACATATGGATGCACCAAGCTGTGTAGAGTCCATGGAGATGACAGAGTGTATGGACTCACCCTTTTGGAAAGCACTGTGGATATATTTATCCAAATCCAGAGAAGTGTCTCCAGTCTATGCTGGATGATGTCACCCCCTGTAATGGATGCTAGAGCAGGAACTCCAGGAAAGCCAACAGCTTCCTTGTTAAGGTGTCCCTTACTAAATCTCAAAGCTGAAAATGTCCATACCTACAAGATGGACTACACTGGCAAAACTTGTTTGAAGCCATTACACAATTCACTGCAGGGCGGCAGTTCCCAACCTGTGGGTGGTGACCCTTTTGGGAGTCGAATGACCCTTTCACAGGAGTCACATATCCAACATCCTGAAAGTCAGATATTTACATTATGACTCATAACAGTAGCAAAATTACAGTTATGAAGTAGCAATGAAAATATCTTTATGGCTGGGTGACTACAACATAAGGAACTATATTAAAGGGTCATAGCATTGGGAAGGTTGAGAACCACTGCTGTAAAGTGTTTGTGGAAATAGAGAAAAGACAATGTTGGCATGGGGTCTGCATGACAACATGAGGGCCGAAAGGAAACCTGTAGAAATGAAAAATAAGAAAGTGAAAGTTCAAAGAATTTTTTTTAAAGTCCATGTTAATGCCATGCTACTTTTACAGGTTTAAGATGGCTTGCCTACCAAGTGTCTTCTAGCAGAGCACAGGAAGCCCATAGAAAACCTTGTCTTTACTCAAAAAAGGAAATTGTCCTCAGCACATCAGTGTTTAACATGCTGAAGTTGATAGAGGTAAGTCTCTGAAACAAATGAAGAAATCATTGGAGAGACCAGTTGCCTAGAGGGAAACTCCGAACCTCTTCCAGCCCCACAACAGGTAGAATAGTTAACAGCATATATAAGCTTATAAAGTCTTTGTGTGTATGGGGAGTGATATATTCACATATTATGCAAATAAGCACATCCATGCATACACAGGAGCCAGAGGAGGATGAAAGGAGCCCAACTTTATCACTCTCCCATGAAACAGAGTTTCTCAATGAAGTTGGAGTTAGGCTGGAAACCATCAAGCTCCAGTGATCCTAGACTTCTATCTCCACAAACATCCCTGGGTTACTACTGGGGTTAGAGGCATGCATGCCATCATGCCTGCCTTTTAATGTGGATGCTTAATATCTTTACTCAGGTTTTTATAATTGTCCACCAGTCACTCTGAACCATCTCCCTAGCCTAATCATAAACTCTTTAAAGAATGTTAAAGAGTTGTGATGAGACAAACAGGTGACCCATTCTGCTGTTTAGAAGCAGAGAAGCCCTACCAAATGTCTTCTAGTAGAGACAAGGGAAGGATGCCAAGAAGGGAAGCAGAAATGGGTGGAAACTTGTGCCCAGTTTCAGTAGCTTAATAAGGCATTTACAGTTGGCTTACAGCAATGGATTCTAGCACTTCCTATCCAGTCCTTGAATGAGAGACTGACTTCAGGCTACTTCTGTTATTAATACCCAGAAACAGGCCTTGCTCATGGTCTTTCTTTCTCCTATGCATGTTTAGATTTTATTTAAAATAAAACCTCATTATGTTGTTCAGGTTGGCCTCAACCGCCTTAGCCTCCTGAGTAGCTGGAATACAGGCAGTGAGCAACAGGTAACTATAAGACCAATAAGTTCCCTGTTATGCAGACAAAAAATGTGGGACAGCAGGCAAGAGATGGTTAGCAAGTCATTTCTATTCTCATAAGAGCTGCAGGGTCTTCTCACAACATAGCCCCTGGAATTGTGCACAATACTCAGTAGTACTCACTTTAAAAGGGCCCAATCTCAGCCGGGCGGTGGTGGCGCACGCCTTTAATCCCAGCACTCGGGAGGCAGAGGCCGGCAGATCTCTGTGAGTTCGAGGCCAGCCTGGGTTACCAAGTGAGTTCCAGGAAAGGCGCAAAGCTACACAGAGAAACCCTGTCTCGAAAAACCAAAAAAAAAAAAAAAAAAAAAAAAAAAAAAAAAAAAAAAAAAAGGGCCCAATCTCAGGCCATGGCCCTTCAGACAAGATAAACATCATCTTAGTCGAGGCTACCCTAGAAAAAGTGCCTGAAAAATGACATATAGTTTATTTGGAAGGTTGAAAGTAAATGAGTATGAGACTGAGAGTAAAAACAGAGAAGAGGAGTCACCCCAAAACCTGATGTAGCTTCATCCAGTAGACAGGGCTACCATCAAGCCAGTTAGCACTGCAGGCAAGAGGGTTAATCCCCTAGGGAAAACTCTCAGAGGCAAAACAAAGCATTACCCATCGGAAGCATGAGAGAGCATGGATTGTTGGTTGAGGGCCATGTGAATGGGGACATTCATTCCTGGTGTTTCCATCACTAGCATCATGGGCAAGCAAAATAGTCTCAATGCCACAAAAATGTTCTCGGGTGCTAGCAGTTGGATGAGGGAATGTAAGCAGATCACCAATGTCATCACGTTTAAAGATCATTTGCTACATTGGCACAGACTCTTAAGGAGCCCTCCCAAGATTCCTTCCAGTTCTACCCACAGTTTCCCTCACTAATAAGGAACCATGTAAGGTGACCCTCATTTCTCCTGTCAAGGAGCAAAGGTTCTCCCTGCAATGAGCCAACAATAACATTCCTGCAATTTCCACCTGGCTGCAAGCAGCCACCCTGCTCCTTCCATGCACAATGGTATTTTTTTTTATTCAAGCAAAACTGCAAAACAATCCAGAGCACTTTAGGAAAAATTCCATGAAGGACTTGTCAAACCCCAGAGAGATTTGAGTTAATTCATTACAGAGTTCAAGTAATCAGGTGAGTCCTGTTTATTCTTCTACCAAAAGGAATGTCCATTGTGTCATTGTTTTTAGGTGGACCAAGGGCTACATGCATTTATCATAAAGTTCAAGGCTGAAGTTCAATATAAGGATGAAAGCCAAACCAAGGCTCCCCAGGAGACAAGGAGCTCTGCTTTCAAAGCCTGAAGGAGAGAATATTGCCTTTCTGCAAATAGTGCTTCTAATTTGATCCCACAAAGATTTCTGCAAAAAGGAAACCAGCAAGATGTCAGGAAGATGTGGAGTATGTGGGTATCTACACAGAATTTTTATCACGGCCACATTTTTCAGGATCTCAGTCATCAATTATTTGTGACAGGTGGTCAATTGTGTATCTTTCAAGAACTTCCCATTATGTATCTTCCCTGGTTTACAGTAGGCAAGATCGTCTATATTCTCCTCCTCTTTAAGCTTTCCCATCACTTACTGCCCAATATCCCCATGGAATGTTCTGAAATGATAGGTTTTCTAAGGCTGTGAGAGAAATTACTTTGTGATCCCCACTTGCTATTCACAAAAAGGCACCAGAGCCAGCTCACCTAGAGGAGAGTAACCTGCAAGTGTTGAAGCAGATGTTCATCTGCAATCCTCAGAGAATGAAAACATCTGGAGGCAACAACACCCTGCTTTTGTTCAGAAAAGAGGCAAGTCTCTGCCATGGAAATAATTTTTCCTTAAAGCTAGGCTGAAATAATTGCATATTTGTTGAGGATTGACAGAAGAGACTTTCATGAATTTTGTTATCTTTTGACAGTGGCAAATAAGTAGGTAATGTAGTCTCTCTTGGGGCTTTTAACAGAAAAAAAATCACAGAAAATTGTGCCAAAGAGAATGCCAATATTTCCATACTTTTCTGCACTTACAGGGATAAAATGGGCATTAAGGGTAAAAGGGCTGTTATAAAAACAGTAGTTCTATTTCCGAGTCTCTCCCTTGCCAAATCCTCTATACCCCAGTCCCTAAAGTGGAAGAATGCCAAACCTGAATTTCTATCATATGCCTTGCAAACAATTGGATTTATTCTTAACAGGGTCTCACTGCATTTTGGCATTACACAGCATGTAATTAGCCATTAAATGACTTAGCAAGGACTGACCCCAATTTGTTGGCCAGTGCCCAATGAATGATTTCATACTGCTCTTCTAGAGCCATACTATGGTGACTTGGTTGCATGGTGGAGTCCAGTGGGGAGAGAGGCTAAAGAGCTCCTAGCTTGGGAACCTGGGCTGACAAATGTGATATTAATTAGAAACCTTTAACTCACCTACAGCCTCTGTGGACGTTCAAGGCCTTATAGCCAATGCAAATCCAATCCGTGTAAATCCCACTTCAGCCTCTCTCAAGTCTTCTGTGACTCCAAATAGGAGACACCAATGTCTCTCCCTTTCTGTAATATAAGGAGACAGGTCTGAGATGTCAGTCAATAAACATATTAAATTCCTACCATATGCCCAGGGAGCTGATGCTGGCTGACAAGGTTGACTACTGGGATAATAATCTATGTTTGAAGCATTTGTTGCATATACCCGTACTTCCATCTCCCTGTGATGGTTACTCTTCATTGTCAACTTGTTGGGATTTCAAATCATCATGGCAACAAATCTCTGGATTTGCCTGCTGTGGATATCACTGTATAAATAAAATGCTGATTGGCCAGTGGCCAGGCAGGAAATATAGGTGGGACAAGCAGAGAAGAGAATTCTGGGAAGTTGAAGGCTAAGGCAGGGAGACACTGCCAGCCGCCGCCATGACAAGCAGCATGTGAAGACGCCGGTAAGCCAGGAGCCATGTGGCAAGGTATAGACTTATAGAAATGGATTAATTTAAGATATAAGAACAGTTAGCTAGAAGCCTGCCACGGCCATACAGTTTGTAACCAATATAAGTCTCTGTGTTTACTTGGTTGGGTCTGAGCGGCTGTGGGACTGGCTGGTGAGAGAGATTTGTCCTGACTGTGGGCCAGGCAGGAAAACTCTAGCTACATTTGCCTATGAGTGTGTTTCCTGAAAAGTCTGACAGAGTAGGGAAGCTCCACCCTGAATGTAAGTGGTACCATTCCCTGGGCTGGGGTCTCAAAGTGGAAAAAACTAGCTGAGCACCAGCATTCATATCTCTGCTTTCTGACTACAGATTCAATGTGACCAGCTTCCTCACACACCTGCACTATGCCTTCTCTGCTGTGACAGACCCTCAGACCCAACTAAAATAAACCTTTCCTTTCTTAAGTCGCTTTTTGTCAGGTATTTTATCAAGTAATGAGAAAAGCAATAGCTAATATACTTCTCCTCCATGAAAGTAGCCGGGACTGAGTGCCTCACAGCTCAAAGGAAGCTAGCATATCTAGGCTACTTGCAGAAAAGTCTCCCTGTCTGGTTGCTGTGGCTACATCAGCTCTTTGAGTAAATATCGGTGATTTTATGTTCAGAGGGCATTAGCATCAGACAGTTGGTCAGGGAGGTGCTGCCTCTCTAAGATTGGGAGGAAAATGAAAGTTTCCTGGGTTCTAGATGGAAGACCACAGTAGCCTGACAAGTGGAGGATCCCTGAAGAAGCCACTGAGAAGACCTCCTACTATAGGCTCAGGGCTGGATGGGGCCCTGGGATGACCAGAGATAAGCACAGGCATCTACAAAAGCTACAGAGCCCTGATCAGCCCAAGGCTCCTGTGATATGCACTTGGTCCAAGCCAGGGGAAGGAATATCAATCAGGACAGTAGTTCTTAGCAGCCTACAGAATTGGGCAACAGAGTCAGGATGGCTCTAGAGAGGGATCAGGCACTTGTGTACCTCCAGGCTCATAAGCAACAGTCATGTCCTCAGATGTTGGTCCTGACTGATGGCCTAGGGATGTTCACCTTCTGCTGACATTGCTGCTACCACCTGCACCAAGGGTCAAAGATGAAACAATTATGGTCATGCCTGGGGTCTCTCTTGGCCCCTAGTCAGCACGGCTTAGAAGAACAGACCAGAAGCCTGGCAGAACCAAGATGGAACCAGACCATTCCTAGATCCCAGCACCCCTCACTGTCTTTTCCTGTGTGTAGGTAACTTCTCAGACAGGGTTTTCACTCTCGTGTGTTGTTTATTGGTTTGTTTTTTGAGGCAGGGTTTCATTTTGTAGCCCCAGGTAGCCTAGGACTCACTCTGTGAACCAAGCTGGCCTTCAACTTGCAAGATCCCCTGGCTTCCCAAGTACCCCTGCCAATCTGGTCCCTCTCTAAGTGCTTCAACAGATAGAGTTTGACAGACGATCCAAATGTCTCCTTCCTAGGCCCTGACCACTTGGGATAAGAAGATTGGGCGCTGGGAAGAGGGGTCAATCTCAGGAGGCCAATGGCAGGGCCCTTAGTGTGAACATATGCTGGACTCCAAGTGAGGAGGCCAAGCAGACAGCCAGGTAAAGGGTTCTAGAGTGGTCACTCAGTAGCACCCTAGTTCCAGAATTCCTTGCAACATAAAACTTAGCCATACAAGGGAGCAAGGCCTGGCCTACTTGTCTTAGTTAGAGTTACTATTATTGTGATGAAACAATGATCAAAAGCAGGTTGGGGAGGAAAGGGTTTATTTGCCTTACACTTCCATATCATCCAAGGAAATCGGGACAGGAACTCAGAGCCTGGATCTGAAGGAAAGAGCTGATGAAGAAGCCATAGGGAGTGCTGCTTACTGACTTGCTCCCCATGGCTTGTTCAGCCTGCTTTCTTATAGAACCCAGGACCATCAACCCAGGGATGACATAAAACTATCCTGCACAGCTCTTATCCTGTAATAGAAAGAAAAAGATGCTAGTCGCCATGAAAGAATAAAAGTTAATATCTCAATAAGCCATTAAATTATAAAATGATTAAAGAAAAACACAGTGCCAAATATCTGCTGGGAGAGAGAATTGGCCTAGGAGTGCAGGACTGAGCTGAGTGGCCATGGGTAGATGAAAGATCTAACAGCTTAAGAATAGACTCCATCATCATTTCCAACTTCTACAATCAGGGCTTTGAATTATAGTGTACTCTTCACAAAAAAAGACAGGAGGTACAAACAGCTCTTAACTTTTCAAAAGCAATTTGTCAAAACATTTCAAAGACCTTCTAACCTTTGGTCCAGTAAGCTTACTTCATGAAATATATTGATAGGGATGAGTTTAAAAACACAACAAAAAAGGAAAATAATAGAATGTAGTACCTACTCTGTCAGAGGCCATTAAGAATGACTTACATGTCTGTTTTCCTGTTTAATTTTCACAAAGCTAAGAGACAAATACTACTCCCATTCTCCAGGTGTCAAGTAAAGCACCAAGACTTTAAACATCTTTTTATACAGTACTGTAGGCAGCATACAAACTAGAGCCCATGTCCTTAGCCACTCCCTAATGCTGCTTCCCACAGAATTCCACAAAATACTACCTACAATATGGGACACAGGAGACAGCTCTCTGCCCAGCAAGGGCAGAGATGTAAGGGTATGTAATACATATAAATGAATAAACAGTATATAAATGTGAGGATAAACTGGGAGATGCCTATACAAAATGACACAGATAAAGATTTTGTGATAATACAGGCTGTAGAGAGTGGAAAGGGGGAAGGATGTCTATAATGAGTCCAGATGACCTGTAAAAACCATCATGTTTACACTATTTTTTTAATTATAGAAATTTATTTTTGTAAATTTCAAATTATAGAAATACCAGGGGCTGGAGAGAAGGGGAGATGTAAGCAGAAGGAGCCAGACAGAGGATGGAGCCAGGCCCTTCAGGGAAGTGGGGGACATAAAGTGGCCGAAAAGAAGTCAGTTCTGCAGCTGAAGCCATCATCAGAGGGCCCAGAGAACACAAGGAGGCAGCTCTGACTGCAGACAGGACATGGTAGGAAGGATCCCAGAACTACTCAGGTGGGAGAATCATCAGGGCTTTCTGGAAAGTGCCACACAGGACTGGGTGAACACAGACATAGCAGGAGGAGAGAAGCAGACTCCCTGAACAGAACCTGGCTTCTTGAAAGCTGTGTGACTACACAGGTACATGTGTAGTCTGTGCACACATACATATGTAATTTGTGTGTGTGTGCGTGTGCGTGTGTGTGTGTGTGTGTGTGTGTGTGTGTGTGTGTATGTGTTAAACATGAGAGGTAAACCTCGGCATCTGTGACTATGAACTGGTGCTGCTGGAGCTACACAGATGGGGTGTCATGTAGCAAAGGTTGATGAACAACCCACTCTTGACTTAAAGGGCACAAGCAAACCCCAAAACAGCTGGAGAAGGTACAAGGGTCATTACATGTGACCTTGTTCAGTCACTGGGGTTCAGGCAACGGCCGGTCATTGGTGTTACTTGGTCATTTCAGGGACAAAGCTTTAGGTCACCACTAGGACTCCCTGTCCTCCCTCAGCTTTGAAGTCATATGTACCAGGCCTTTTCTTTTAGGGCCACCAACCAGCCCCAAATTATGACACAGAGACTTATTATTAGTTATGCTCGGCCTAGCTTAGGCATGTTTCTGGCTAGCTCTTTTAACTTAAATTAACCTGTTTCTCTTTATCTATCTTTTGCCTCGGGACTTATTACCTTTCTTACTTCTGCATATCTTATTTTCACTGCTTCTGTATGTCTGGCTAGCATCTGCCTGGCTTCTTCCCCAGGCATGTCCATCATTCTCTCCTTCTTCTCTCATTCTTCCCTCTTTTCTCTCAAGCCTAGATTTATCCTCCCGCTTATTCTCTTTGCCCACCAGCCCTGCCTATCCTTTCTCTGCCTAGCTATTAGCCATTCAGCTCTTTATTAGACCAATCAGGTAACTTAGGCAGGCAAGGTGAGACAGATGCAATACATCTTTACATAGTAAAACAAATGCAGCATAAACAAATGTAACACACCTTTTCACAGTTAAAGTAATATTCCAAAGCATAAATAAATGCAATACATCTTTGCCCAGTTAAAATAATATTCCACAATAGTCATACATAATCAAACTCTTTCCAGGAGCCACAAAGGACATTAAACCATGAATTATGCCCTCTAGGGTTCTGTCCTCTCCCCCAATGTGTCCCTGCCATAGCAACAACAGTATTGGCACTTGAAATGGCACTTAATGACCCAAAGTCAGCAACATGTCTCTGGTGGAGCTGGAGTATTACTCGCACTAGGGCCTTTATGGTCCAAACTTAGCCCTGTCCCTGTGCCGTGGCCTTCCTTCCTTGGGCAACTACTCCAGAACATCAGGCTCCACTTCCTTTCCTTCTCATTCCTATCCTTGAGATGCAGGCTGCTTCCCACTGTGCCCTCTGGCCTGAAAAGGGTTTGGAAAGAATACAGAGTTCTCTCTATACCTCCCCCAGATCCACCTATAAAGATTAGCACCACAGACCTGTGTGCTCTCTGTCCCCAGCCTTCATTCTCAAGATGTTGGAGCTAGTAGGAACTTGGAGAACCACACAGCCAGAGGAAAAAGTAAAGCCCAGAGAAGATAATGGACTTGACCCACAATAGACAGCAATGCAGGGGACAGGAGTCTGGGTTTCCTGCACCCAAATCAGTGACTGAGGTACATTCCTCACCCCAGAGCCTCCTTTAACTATACCTAAAGTCCTGGAAGGATGGCTTTCTCAAATTCCCAAAATTACAGGTGTGTGGACTCCTGGTTTGAAGACCCAGTCATATTGTTTCCAACTATGTTGAATTAATTAAACCTATACTGAGCAGCTGTGTCTCAGGCTCTGCTTTGAGTCCTGAGAATGTAAAGATGAAGTTTATATGACCCTGATAATAAGACACTCAGGGTCTAATACTTATTCCTAGATGTATCTCCATTGTTCCCATTAGTTCAGTCCACCAACCAACAGTTATCCAGAATCCAATAAGTGCCAGGAACTGTGGTTGGGCCCAAGTGCTCTGTGCCCACGGGCTCATGAGACAACAAGGAGATTATGTCTGGTCTGCCTCCAATTTGCTTTTAGGCCCTCCCTCGCCATTTTCCAGCCTCAGTTTTCCCATCTGGAACACTATCACTTGATGGTTCTAAAAAGCTACACTAGACATTGCCCAAAGTCTCTTCGAACCCTCTTCCTACCCTTTTCTTCCTGATCCTGGGCAAATACTTGAGGTTGGATGAGGGGTTACCAGCAAGGAATATAATTATGGGGTGAGAAGGAAGCAGCTGACAAAATGGAGTCCTTCTTGCTTACAGAAGAAGCCCCTTCTCCCTCCCTTCCTGGTCACCTCTGTAGACAAAACATGGAAGAATCTCACAGACAATCCCTTCTTTCTGGCCAAAGAGTCCCTGAATACTTGCCACCAACACAGCTCCAGGGCGTGCCATTCACACCAGACTCAAGTAAAGGCTACCCAGGTTGTGTAGCAAGGTGGCCAGATGTGGCTTCCAGGTCCTTGACATCAGAGGGCAAGCCCCAGAGCTTTTGCCTTTGGAGCAGAAAGTCAGAAGAGGGATGTGGAGGTAGCCTGGGCAGGAGGTAAGAAGAACAGGAGTCTGCAACTCAGAGCACAGAGAGCACAATTTGGAGCCAGCTGTTTGAGTCCTGTTGAGACAATGCTAGGAAGAGGGTCACAGTGCTGGCTGAGGATGAGGGAAAATCAGTTCAGACAGCCTGCTGTAGATTTAATTGTTCCATTTCAAAGGTCCGTCTGGTTGCTGGGCTAGAGACCATGTGGGTGGACCTGGCTGGGGTGGGGGAGCTGTGACAGAACAGGCTTTGATTGGATTATCACATCTCCAAGTACTCAGGGCAGCAAACAACAGATCCTACGTTCCTGCATCACTGCTCCTGGCCCATACAGAAAACCTTCAGTTAATTTAATGACAGTCTGCAGCCCAAAAACCCCAGAGTGAGACTGTTGCTGAATGTCTGGCTCAATATTAATTTCCATTAGC